CTCATTATTTGCAGAGTATAAATATAACTTCGAGGTGAAGTATAAGCCAGGGAAGCAGCTGCGTTGTCATGCAGACCAGACAATGAGCTTGCTCATGTCACGACGGTGACACCGTCCGTGATGGATAAGATCCGCGCCGCATACGCGGGTGATAGTATGTGTTTATCACTAATACAGACACTCGGGAGCAAGAAGTTTGGAACTCGGACAAGAAATTGTCGGCACGTTGGCGCGTCACAGTTACACCGAAATTCGTTGAGTACCGGGTTGCTGAATTATAGAACCGATTCGACAAATACGACGCGAATTGTGGTTCCTCACGATGAGGATTTGAGATACCATATTCTCTATGAGGCCCAAGACACCCCACTTGATGGTCATCTCGGTCGTGAGAAGATGTACTGCTCAGTGAGTGGACCAAGCTGTACAAGTGAACGAGCACGTATGTGCGCTCGTGGGAGACGTGTCAGAAGGTGAAACCCTTTCCGAATACGGCGGCACCGCTGGCCAGCTTACCGGTACATTCCGGGTGCTGGCAGTCCATTAGTATGGACTTTGTGTCTGACCTGTCAAAGAACTCGGCAGGCAACACGGATGCGATGCACCTTGTGGACCGTTTGAGCAAGATTGCTCATCTTGCGGCAGACCGGACACTATCAACGGTATGAGTACAGCAACGCTGTTTGTCGATCGTGTCTTTCGACAGCATGGACTCCCGAGGTCAATTGTCGCTGACAGAGACCTGCGCTTCACTGGATAGTTTTGGTCTACGGCTTTCGGGGTGCTGGGCACCAAGCTGACTATGTCAGCAGCGTACTATCCACACACCGATGGTCAGACCGAGCGCGTGACTCGCGTCGTCAAAGACATTCTTCGCAGCATCTGCGCTGTGACACCTAAGCGCTAGAGCCATGATTTACCTTCGTAGCGTATGATCTGAAAAATGCAGTGCAGTTAAATACCGGTCATACGCGGTTCTACGTGAACGGGATTATTAATCCTCGCGTCCCGCCGACGCCGCCAGAACATGGTTCAGGGCTTGGTGGGGGATGAATAGCTGAACGGCTAATGTATGTTAGCCCTGAGTGTCTTACGACATGTTCGCGATGCGATGGCTGAAAGCCTAGACATGCACAAGGAATATGTAGACAGAAAGGAGAAGAAATGTTGAGAACCGAGGTTGGAGACCTGGGGTTTTTATATGCTAAAAAACTTCCTACCATAAAGTTCCTGCTGTCTTTAAGACGAACCTCCGTCTACGGGTTTAATTTACCATTTAAGGTCGTGACCATGCGAGGCCTAGCGTACACGCCGAACCTTCCAAGAAGAATGCGCAACCACTCGGTGTTTTGTGTGGGCTTGCTTAAGGTATCAAGCGCAAATGAACACGAAAGCGTTGGCGCTGGGGCGGCGCCTTAAGGCACTCGACCACCCAGAAGTTTCACATGAAACTAGTTCTGAGAGCGGGGTACAACAACTTCTGTTTCAAACGGCGCAAGGAGCTCCAACGTCACTCGTAGTGACGTATTTGCCTGCTCGACGGCTAGGAGCCGCTTCGACAGAGCACGATAATCCATAATGCGAGGCAATCGGTGCACAAAGTAATCTATGCTTTTGAGATCTTCCGCAACAGCGGTAGACAACCTCGAAAAGATGCTCGATAGAATGCCGATGAGGACGGACTTTGCCCTCTTTCGCTCGAAGAGCATCGCTTGTCACCGGACGACGATCGACCAAGTCGTCATCATCCGACACCGGGTATCTCGATAAGAATAGTAGTGTCCACTACCACGTGGAACGCCTTGTGGGTCGACGTCGTCGTTGAGGTTTAACCCAATATCTTGTGAAGTGGTAACGATACCCGAACTCCGAGAACTCGTGGGAGTTTGAGGTGCCACTTCGGCAAGATTGTCTAGGCGTCGTAAACGCTTATGATCAGAGGGATCATGGCGCTTTGCATCGCCTTGCGCACCGCGCTACTCGGCAGTAGCCTGAGAAGCCTGAAGGACATGAGTTGAGCTAAAGCTATGGCCCTGATCTGCCGTGGTCGTAAGGTTACCCGTGTGAGAAGCCACAGAGCTCGTAGGAGCGTTTTGGATTGTTCCATTTGTCGCAGGGCGACAACACGCAGGAAGTGGGCGTTGCGCCTTGAGTTTGGCAAACTCAAATAAAAGATGATACTCAACGCGCACATCCACTTCCTTGTGGCT